CTGAAGTTGCTTCCATCCTGATTCTCCCTTTTAGTTTCTCAAACACCTTAGGTGTGACTTCAGTGTCAAACTGTGTTCAGGTCTCAGATCCACTCATTAATAACGGTGTAACCTTCAGTAAAATCGAGTAATGCCCATTTCCTCTTCTGGAGAATGGGAATGCTAATACTAACATCAGGGGCATTTGAGAAAATCCAGTAAGATGACTATAACGTCTGTAAAGCATTGAGCACAGTGCCCAATGGCTAGTAGCCACTCGGACAGGCTAGGTCCTATACTTCTCTTCCCCCTCCAGGCTGCAAGGTGAGGCAAAGAGTCACTTGACCTCCTAGCTCCACCCCTTCTCTTCACATATTCTGTGGGGCCCTGGAAGCTATTGCTGCTGGAACTTAGCAACTGGGTAGGTCAGAGAAAGTGGGGCAGGTATTAGAACTGGTGCTTGGGATCCTACCCAGTACTAACACGTTTCTCTCTGTGGCACATATTCATCCAGTTGCGGAACCTAAACGCCTCAGAGAGGCTCTTGCCTCCTGCCTCTCACTCCTCTCCCACACTCTTGACATTCCATCTCACAGTGGCTCCTGGTCCAACTACTTCTCATTCCTTTCTGCTGCTGTCCAACAGTATGTCTTTGCTCCAGCCCCCCTCAGCTCATGCAGTGTTACCCAGCCTTCCTCCACGCTGGCTGCCAGGATAATCTTTCTAAACCAACCTGACCATGTCACTTCCCTACTTAAAAATCTCCTATTTTCAGGACTGAGTGTCAACTACTCAGCTTGTCATTGATCCAACAAGTATGGGGGCTGGGGGATGTACTTTATGCCTAAGCGTTCTTATGGGCACAAAGATACAGCAGTGCACCAAGCACAGCGAAAGCCCTGCCCCCACGGAGGGGGCTTACATTCTAGGGGCCCTTCACAGTCTGGACCCCAGCATCCCTTTACAGCCTTATCTCCCCGCAACTCCCTTCCAGCCCACCTCCCTCCCACACGCCGGGCACTCTGGTCTCTTCTCCTGCCAAGCCTGCCCACGCTCCCCATGTTAGACTAGTCCCCTCCTCTCAGATCCCTCCATTCCCCCTGCCGCGCCGCTGCAAGACCTAGGGCTCCCCGGCAAAGTGAGGCCCCTCTTCCTGCCAACTAAAGCCCCGTGGCCCCTCCCCTGCCCCTCGGGGATTGTGAGCTAACAGCCAAGGGTGGGGTGGTGAGAGGCTTGGGACGGCGCGGCTCCCCCTCTCCTGGGCTGGCCCCTCTCCACCGCCCAGGAAGCGGGGAAGGAGTGCGGGCCCCCACCCCATCTAAGAATGTCTCGTCCCCAGGTAAGCAGCCGCAGCGTCGCACGCGCCTCCCCCAGGGTGCTGTCGGCGGCCACGGCCCTGGGGGGAAGGAGCTGTTCCGAAGCGCGGGCGCCCAGCCCCGGCTCCGTCTGGCTCCGTCTCTTCCATCTTTTCGCCTGGGCGTCGTCGCCGTCGCTGTTGTCCAGGACCGACGCGGCACAGCCGGCAGGGGAGGGGCGAGGAGGGGAGCGCCGGTGTCTCCAGCTCGGACAGACCGGCGTCGGGAGGAGGCCGGCTCCCTGTCGGGCTGTTGGCCTCTAGGGTGGCGGGATGGATTGGGGGCGGCCAGTGGGGGGCGGGGCGTTTCTAACTCGAGGGGCTGTGCGCGTGGCGCGCCGCCTGGGGCCTTCTCGCTCCAACGCTGCGCGGGTTTCGAGGCAAGGCACCGACTTCGCCACGCCTTGCCTCTCCTGAGAAATCGCCGGGTCCCACGCAACTCTCCCCTCTTCTTCCGCTAGCAGCCCCAGCGTCGGACATTTCAGCTCGCTCACCTCGTTCTCCTCACTCACCAGTCTCATGGCTGGTTTCCTTTTCTTCAGCCTCTCCCCTCGAGACCACCCTCCACCCCCAGCCCACATCTGATCAAGACACCCCCTTACCAAATAAACATCACTGCCCGCCCACAGCGGCAAGGCAGGGTCACAGCAGCTATCACAACTGTGGCCTCCCTGTCGGCTTTGCCTCCCGGCAGCCCTGTCTCCCTGGGACCCAGCCTCCTCATTGGGCTTGCGCCCTTGCAATTTCCTTTGCCAGGAAGCACCCCCCTTTGTTTATGCCCGGAGACCCTCCATAAATATCACATTGGCCAAGCCTTCCCCTGCCCCCACCCCAGACTTAGTCTTCCCTGGACACCCTCAGCAACCGGACATCCCCTTGTCCAGCCAGAGTTGCCACACTGCCGTCACCGTCCCTACACACATCTGCCTCCCCTACCAGACTCCCAGCCTCCTGAGGGTGCCCAGAACACACAGGCCTGGCACACAGCAGGCATCGGCAAATAAAGATCATAAACGTTGGGTAGATGCTGGGTGTGCTGAGGGGCTGGATTGCTCACTTGAGAAGGCTTCTCACAGGACAGACTGGACAGGCTTGGAGTGATTCCGTGCAGGTACAGGATCTCGGGCAAGCACCAGAGTGCTCTATTAATTTAACAATCATTGAACAACTTCTGTTGTCAGGCCTTATGCCAGGCACGGGACCTCGGTTGGCACTCAAGTTCCTTCCCCCGTAGTAGAGAAGGAAGACCACATGGGCGGTGCCAATACAGAGTGCCAAGTGTCACGTGGTGAGCACAAGCAGATGTGGCGGTGCAGAGGAGGAGCAGCTCAAGACTTGAGGGGGTGTCAGGCTTCCCAAAGAGGCCCACCACCCAACCCAACACCAGAGGGGGGCAGAGAAGGGGTCAAGGGGCAATGGAGAGAAGAGGCTGAGAGTCGAGCAGGGCTTCGTCACAAAGGGCTTGCATACCACATGAAGGAGCTGGACTCCATCCTGAGGGTGTCGGGGAGCCACTGATGGCTTCCTTGGAGCCGGGGAGTGACGTGAGCTCTGACCCCCTCCTCTGAGCCCCCTGACAGGCGGGGCCCGTCTTCTGTGCTCCCTCAGCAGCCTTGTCACCTCCTGTGCAGGGTTGAATGCCTCTGCCAGACTGAGCTTTTTGAGAGATGAGACCAGGTCTCAATCTTCTCTGTCCCAAGACCAAGTGCTGAATGAATGGATTTTTCCTTTTCTCTCTAAATTTCAGCAGTTCTTACTCTCAGCTCCACATCCTTCCATACCTGGGGCCTGTGCTGCAAACGGCTTTTAATTGGGAAAGAGGAGGCCCAGTTCCAATCCCAGCTCCACCATTTGCTGGAACAAGTTGCTTAACTGTTCTGAAACCTCAGTTTCCCCATTGTTAAGATGAGTTACCACCATGAACTGTCTGTAAGTCTCCACAGGCATGCATGAGTCTGTTTTCCTGAACAGACTGTCAATTCCATGGTCCAGGCAGGGACCAAGGGCTTTCCCCAGCACCTTGCTCAGTCTGAGCTTACAACGAGTGCTACGATCCGTCCTGCTGGTTGGTAGACAGCAGAGCACACAGGGAAGAACACTTACGGTGAAGTTGGAAGTCTTGTTCTGCCACTTCCAGTGTGACCTTGAACAAGGTTCTTCCCCTCTCGGAGTCTCCTTTGCCTTACCTGGCAGACCTCACAGGGCCATTGGAAACCACAGAGGTGAAAGTGCTTTGTGAATGAAAGAGATACTGTAGTAGACAATTAATTGCACATTAATTTAAAAAAAAAACCAGGGACTTCCCTGGTGGCTCAGTGGTTGAGAGTCTGCCTGCGGACGCAGGGGATGCGGGTTCGTGCCCCGGTCCGGGAAGATCCCACATGCCGCGGAGCGGCTGGGCCCGTGAGCCATGGCCGCTGAGCCTGTGCGTCCGGAGCCTGTGCTCCGCAACGGGAGAGGCCACAACAGTGAGAGGCCCGCGTACCGCAAAAGAAAAAAAACCAAAAAACCAAACCGTGTAGTAGTATAGATGAGGTGTGTCTCGTACTTGGTGGACACACCCCAGGTATCTGCTGACTGCCTCTGAGATGCTGCTCTTCCAGGTGCAGACTAGGCTGGAACAGAGGTGCTTGGTCTTGCTCGGGTCAGCCCTGAGACTCAAGACAGACCAGGAGGGAAGGGTTGATAGGGAGGGAGCAGGCATCCAATCCTTTGCCCCCCTCCCATCCCAGATTTCTCGGACTAGCATTGCTTCCCTGTCTTAGGTTTTGAGGGGACCTGGCATGACAAGGTCTCAGGAGTCCCAGTGGCTTTGGCATTGTAGCTACTGATACCCCTTGGTGAATGAAGCTGGCCTATGGGAGCAGTTAGCTCCACCGTGCTGCCTGATAAACTCCCAGCCCCAAATTCCAAGTCCGGCCCCCTCTCAGCCTCTGACATACTGGTGGCAGTATTTATGGGAAAGGACCATGATTTTTCTTAGCTCTTGCCCAGACCAGAAGGGCCTGGGGCTGTACAGAGGGGCTGTATGGAGGCAGAGTCTCAGCTTCCTCACCTTGAAAATGAGTGGGGATTAAATGAGAAAACACCTTGGAACTTGTACATTTTACTCACGTGCAGGATTGCTATTTGTGGGTAGTGTGTTTACAACCAGTGGGGCCTCCCTGTTTCAGAGAACGCTGGGGCTCTTTCTCCAAAAGAAAGTTTCACAGACAGTGTATGTGTAAGGAGTGCACATGTTTGGTCTTAGAGCGAAAACGGACACAGAGAGACTGTGAAAATGGCCAGGGCCAGCTGATTCCCTGCTGCTGAGAGAGGCTGAGGGAAGGGAGGAGGCCTGGGCAGGGCCTGCTCCTGCACGGGGAGGCCGTAGCTGCCCAGCCAGACTGGCCATCCGAGCTCCCTCATTGCCCGCACAAACCGCCTACCCCACAAACCTCCTGCTGCTGAGATTATGCCCCCTTTAAGAAGCACCAGATTTAGAATCAAACAGGAGGGATTGGGCTTCCCTGGTGGCGCAGTGGTTGAGAGTCCACCTGCCAATGCAGGGGACACGGGTTCGTGCCCCAGTCCAGGAGGATCCCACATGCCGCGGAGCGGCTGGGCCCGTGAGCCATGGCCGCTGAGCCTGCATGTCCGGAGCCTGTGCTCCGCAATGGGAGAGGCCACAACAGTGAGAGGCCCGCGTACCGCAAAAAAAATAAAATGAAATAAAACAGGAGGGATTGATTCTCCTCACCTAATGTGTGACTTTGAGCAAATACCTCCATTTCTCAGGACCTCAGTTCCCTCATTCATGAAACGGGGAGAATTATGGCACCATCTCCTAAGGTTGTCAGGATCAGAAGAGAGAGCGTGGTGGAAGTGCCATGTGAATTATTTAGCGCTGTCCATATTCATTTTCTGTTGCTCATCTCTTCCCCTATTGACACTTGGGGCACCTCAGCCACAGCCCTGTCTTTCTGAGGGAGTGAGCGTGGCCTCCGGGACAAAGGAGCCTGAGTCTGCAGCGGGCCCTTTGTGCTTCCTTCCCTTCAGGTGGCCTCTCTCCCCCTGGGCCACTCCTGGGGGTGAGGGGGTTACCCCTTCCCAGTGTTTTTGTTCCTGTGGGGCTCACTCCAAAGTATTAAAAGTAGCTTTATAATTTAAAAAAAAAAGGAAAAAGAAAGGAGGGCTCATTTATGATAAAGGTCTCTATGACAAGGGCTCATCTCTCAGATGGGGGAAGGGCGCATACCCCTTGGACCCTGGGCCATGGGAGTGCCAGGAGGGTCAGCATATGGGGTAGAGGGAGGTCTGTGCTGTAGGGCAAGGGGTGTAGTCAGAGAGGGGTGGAAGCTATGGTTGTGCTGGTTCACTCACTTTGCTATTGAACTTCCCCAGGCGCTCATCTTCAGCACCTTTGTCTTACCTCCTGGGTCTCCTCCATCTACCAATAAGAAACCATGTTGGGAGGGCGCAGCTCTGGGATGAGGTCTAGGGGAACAGGAGCTACTGGGTCCCTGGGAGCCTCTTTTGGGACTCTTTGACCTTGACAACCCCTTGTCCCTCTCCCCTGGGCCCCAGGTCAGCACACCAGTTTCTTCCTGACCAAAGAGCAGAGCCACGCCCAAATGAATGAATTTTCCTGGAAGGATGTTGCCAGTGCCTTGTCCGTGGCCAACATGATCCTGGGGCTCTTCTCCATCTTCTGCAGTTTCTGCAAGTAGGTCTGGGGCCCAGCAAGCTCTTAGCCAAAAGCTGGAGCCAATGGCATGAGGGAAGGAGTGGGGAGTCTAGAGCCAAGCTCTGAGGCGTACAGATCAACTGGGGGCAGGAGAGAGTGCAGTAGGTTGGGAGTCAAGGGGTCAAGATCCTGGCCTCAGTTCTACCACCAGCCTGATATGCGACCTTAGCTAGGTCATATCTTGAGCCTCAGTTTCTCCATCTTTAAAACAAGCAGCTCACACTATGATCTCTATAGTTCCTTCCAGCTATGGCAATCTAGAATGGTTTCTATGAGAAAATCAAGAGGTTTTGAGATTTCTGTTCTGGTGGCCTTTGCATAATCCTTGGGTAGGCAGGCGACCATTAAATTTTTTTGATTCTTAAATTAGAGCATATGATCTGGCAGAATATTTGAAATTAGCACTGTTCTGGAAACTCTGAGACATGTATATGGGCCCCCCCAAAAAGCTGTAGGCATATTATGTTTCTATAAATTGAATCATATTTCAATGGCTTTGGGAAATCAGCTCTTTAAAGATAAGTCCTTTATAATGCAAATAACACTCCTAATCTGTTTGATTCTTTATAACCATGAGCAAGTGACTTCTCTGGATCTGTTTCTCAACCATAAAATAAGAGGATTTTACCTGATTATGTTTAAGTTCCCTTCCAGTTTGAAAATTATATGATTCTCTAAGTCTGGGTTTTTGGGGTCTCATAAAGTGGGACATACCTGCAGCAGAAAATCGCTCTCTTCTTAGTTCCACCTAATCTTCTGGGAGTGTAGTTTTTATGCCATAATGGTGGGCCCAACTCCCTTTAGACACATAGGTATGGGTCTAAACAAAGGAAATACTAAGGTTGTTTGGGGACAGCTGAGGTCTGGGGTCAGGCTCTCTGTTTGCTTCTGCTGGGCCACCCAAGCATTGCAGTCAGGGTGTCGACTTGCGTATGGCCTCCTAGGGCAGTCTGGTCTGAGATTGTGGTAGCTGATTTCAGAGGAGTCTGGGAGCATGTGCTGGAAAGAAACATAGAATCCTTGAATGTAGGGTCTGAAAGATATCTTAGAAATCATTCAGAGCATCAAAATACATGAGACAAAAACTGATATAACTACAAGCAGAAACTGGTGACTGTATTATCATAGTTGGATATTTCTATACCCCTTTATCAGTAATTGATAGATCCAGCAGGCAGAAAATCAGTAAGGATATAGTTGAATTGAACAGCACCATCAATCCACTGGATCTAATTGATATTTATAGCATACTTCATCCAACAGTAGCAAAATACACATTCTTCTCAAGATCACCAAGATAGACCACATTCTGGTCTGTAAGACATACCTTAACAAATTAAAAAAAATAGAAATCATACAAAGTATGCTCTGAGGCCATATGGAGTTAAACTAGAAATTAATAACAGAAGAATAACTAGAAAATTCCAAAATAAATGGAGGTTAAACAACTCACTTCTAAATAATACATAGATAAAAAAGGAGTCTCAAGAGAAATTTTAAAAAAATATTTTGAACTAAAAGAATGTGAAAATACAACTTATCATAATTTGTGAGATGCAGTAAATGCAGTACTTAGAGGGAAATTTATAGCATTGAATGCATATATTAGAAAAGAAATCTGCTCTGTAAAAGACCACATCAAGAGAACTAGAAGACAAGCCACAGACTGGGAGAAAATATTTGCAAAAATACATCCAATAAAGAACTACAGTCCAAAATATACAAAGCTTAACGCTCATCAATAAGAAAACAACCCAATTTAAAAAGGGCCAAAGACCTTAACAGACATCTCACCAAAGAAGATATCCAGATGGCATTTAAACATATGAAGAGATACTCCACATCATATATCATCAGGGAAATGCAAATTAAATGGCAATGAGATACCACTATACACCTATTAGAAGGACCAGAATCCAGAACACTGATAGCAACAAATGTTGCTGAGGATGTGGAGCAACAAGAACCCTCATTCATTGCCGGTGGGAATGCAAAATGGTACAGCTACTTTGGAAGACAGTTCGGTGGTTTCCTACAAAACTAAACATACTCTTACCATATAATCCAGCAATCACACTCCTTGGTATTTATCCAAATGAATTGAAAACTACGTTCAAAACCTGTACTTGGATGTTTATGATGTTTTATTCATAATAGCCAAATCTTGGAAGCAACAAAGATGTCCTTCAGTAGATGAATGGATAAATAAATTGTGGTACATCCAGACAATGGAATATCATTCGGTGTTAAAAAGAAATGAGCTATCAAGCCCTAAGAAGACATGGAGGAACATTAAATGCATATTATTAAGTGAAAGGAGCCAATCCAAAAAGGCTACATATTATATGACTCCAACTATATGACATTCTGGAAAAGAAAATATGTGTCCAAAAATATGGAGACAATAAAAAGATCAGTAGTTTCCAGAGGGGTTGAGGAGGACATAAATAGGTAGAGCACAGAGGATTGTTAGGGTAGTGAAAATTCTCTATATGATATTATAATGATGGATATATATATCATTATACTTTTATCCAAAACCATAGAACGTATAACACCAAGAGTGAGCCCTAAGGTAAACCATGGACTTTGCGTGACTACAGTGTGTCAGTGTAGGTTCATCCTTGGTATGTACCAAGGCCAGAATGCACCATTCTGGTGAGTGATGTTGATAATGGGAGAGGCTATGCATATGTGGGGCTAAGGGGTATATGGGAATCTCTGTATTCCTCTCAATTTTGTTGTAAACCTAAAATTTCCCTAAAAAAATAAAGTCTTAGAAAAAATGGAAAAGAAGGAAGATCTAAAATCAATTATGTAAGCTTCCACCTCAGGAAACTAGAAACAGAAGAGCAAATTAAATCCGCAGTAAGCAGAAGGAAAGAAATAATAAAAATTAGAGCAGAAATCAATGAAATCGAAAACAAGAAATCCATTTAAAAAAATCAATGAAACCAAAACCTGGTTCTTTGAAAAGATCAATAAAATCAATAAACCTCTAGCCAGGCTAACCAAAAAAAAAAAGACAAGACACAAATTACCAGTGTCGGAAATGAAAGTGGAGGAATCATTACACGGACATTAAAAGCATAGGAAAGGAATATTGTGAACAGCTCTATGTCCACAGACGTCATAGCCTAGATGAAACAGACCAACTCCTTAGAAGATACAAGCTACCAAAACTCACCCTAGGAGAAACAGATAATCTAAATAGGCCTATACTTATTAAATAAATCATTTGGTACAAACCTTTCATTTTATAGATGGAGGAACAGAGACCTAGGAAGGAGGAGTGGTTTATCTGAGATGGTTGTAGAGGCTGGACTAAGGCCTAGGACCCTCCTTGCCACTGAATGTGCCTGGAATTTAGAATTGAAAGGGACCTTAGTGATTACCGAGGGGGTTGAGGGCACCCCTTTAAGACTGTGGGTTGAGAATGAGTATGGAAGGGTTGTAGATATGTGTGTGTGTGTGTGTGTGTGTAAAAAGCAGCACATATCAGAAAGGATGTGAGTGTGGGGAACACGTAGGGGTGTGTGTATGTGTGCTAGCGTAGGAAGCGTATAGCGGGAGGGGGGTGGAGTCCAGTGGAGACTATGAAAGAGCCGCCCTTTGGGGCCTGCTGGCCTGCATTTTAGGAAGTCCCCCTGTGCCTCCTGGATGCTTTTGGTCAGCTTTCTATTAGACATGGCTATCGGGGCAATGACCAGACACCTCTACATCTGCTCCACATCAGGTGAGTCCAGGCCTCAGACTCATAATCCCTGACCCCAGGAGCACCATTCAGGTCAGCTTCTCCATCCTCTGAAATACAGCAGGCTTCCTTGAGTCACCACTCCTGTTCACATCCCTCTGAGTGTAGCAGAAGCAGCCCTTGAACAGGAGTTTGTGAGCCCCACAGTCTAGATCTAGCTCCTCTGCTGGTTCGCTCATTGATCGCTGGCTGTCTTTGTCCTGGCCTTCAGTGGGCTTATCTGCCCCGTCTCTCTCTTCAGGGCGGATCTGGGAGTGGGAGTGGTGGTTGTGGTCACGGGGGAGTGGGGAAATGAAAAATTACCCCAAGCAGAGCTGCTGGTTTAAAATATGACAAAATATTTCCATGCAAGATTTTGCTTGAAAAAAAAGGGTTCCACAGCTTATCGATACGTTCCCAATTGTAGTCCAACCCTTGCGTGTTACAGGATGGGAAAACTAAGACCTAGACAGGGAAAGACTTGTCTAAGGCCATGTGGTCAGTTTGAGGCAGAGCCAGAAGGAGATCCTAGTCTTTGATCAACAGGCCCCCCTGGGGAGCAGCTGTTGCCCTCTGGCCCCTTAGGGACCTGACAAACAGGATCCCGCTTGTCGTCACTCCAGCTCCCCCACTAGAAGGGACTAAAGTATAAGACATATGAGTGTAAGTTCTTCTAACCTTGGCCTTCTGGAACAGGAGCCAAGCTGAATGACTTTGCTGTCTTCACCACCTTTGGCCTGGCCTCAGCCCTGCTTCTAGGCATGGATGGGCCTCTGAATGGCTTCCTGGCCATCATCTATGTGTTGGCTATTTCAGTCCGCCTCTGTTTCTATTCAGCTGGTGAGTGGAAGCCAGCCTTATGGCTGAGGGTAGGGAACCATGGAGGGGAGAAGCTGTTGGATGCCGGAAACGTGAGGTGCAGTAATTGACTCCTCTCCTTCCTTTTACGGAGACCCCCTTCCTTCCTTCTCCCCTGCTCTAGGCCCACTGGAGACTGAAGGCTGCATTGGCAGAGACCTGTTCTAGGGGGCGGGAACCCTTGGTTCTTGAGCCAGCTGTGCCTTTTTCTTGTAGTGTGACCTTTGGATGGAGCATATGAATTCACAGACTCTAGAACTAGAGGTCATACTCCAGTTTCCCATAACAGATGGAGAAACTGAACTCTGGTGAGGGTAATTACCTTGCCTAAGGTCACAATGCAAGGGATTGCAGATGCAGACAGAAAGATCTCAAAGGACCCCTCTACAGAGGCTTCCTAGGGGCCAAGGCATAGGCCTGGTCCTAGCTGCCTGCTTTACCTTGAGGATCCAGTGCAAAACCCACACATCATCTCTAAATAACTAAGTGCTTTATGGCTGGCCACTGCCCTGGGATTAGGGGATTTGGAATGTGGGGCAGGGAAGACCCAAAGAGAGAAGGGCGGATTCCTCTGGTGGGTGCTTTAGAGCAGTGGAAAGCAGCAAACCCCATCTTTTCTTTCCCTGCAGGCGTTCCCTTCACATACAAGGGTCTACCCTGCCCCTATGCTTCCTGTGTTTTGGCCTCCACCTCCCTCCTGACCAAAGGCAACACATTCATTCTCTCTTGCATGGCTTCATTCATGATTCTATTCATGATGGACCAGAGCTACTACCCACATGACGAAATCCTGGAGTCTGAGAACTGGAAAAAAATGGTCTATCTGGGAGGTGAGTGAAAATACTGCTCTTAAATGTCACTAGTGATCATTTATTGTCACTGCTGCTCATTGCCACCCTGTACCTCGTCCCCACATTCCCTGTTTCACCCTGCTTTACTTTTCTCCATAGACTTTATCATCACCTGATATGTATTTACTTGTTTGTTGTCTATACACACTAAACCTGCCCACCCCCCATAGAAGATTCTTTTTTATTTGTGCTATAATTCCTAGTACCTAGGATTGTGCCAATCACATAGTAGATGCTCAATAAATATTTGTTGGATGTCACTAAGTTCAATAGAAATTTAGGGAACACTGACCATATGTGAGGTGCTAGGAATCAAATCGGTAAACCAGACAAATACTTCCTGCCTCAGGATTTACAGTCCGATAGGGGAGACAGACATCAAACAAATCATGGCAGAAATAACTAAAAATATATAGTTTTGATGTGCTGTGAAACTATAGGGTGCTCTCAGAGGGCATCAGAGGGTGACCTAATTTAGACTGGAATGCCTTAAGGATGGGAAAGGATCCTTAAGGAGGTGACATTTAAACAAAATCTGGGTAAAAGTGGTCAAAAGGTAAAAACTCCAGTTACAAGACAAGTTCTGGGCATGTACAGCATGGTGGCTACAGTTAACAATACTGTATTGGCTTTTTGAAAGTTGCTAAGAGAGTAGATCTTAAAAGTTCTCATCACAGGGAAATAATGTGTAACTATGTGAGGTGATGGATATTAAGTAAATTTATTATGGTTATCATGTTGCGATATATACAAGTATCAAACCGTTGTTGTTACACTTTGGACTAATAACAATGCTATATGTCAATGATATCTCAATAAAACTGGAAAAAAATTTAAAATACATGAAAACTGCAAGATGATTGGCCAAGTGGTGGGAAGGATGGTTCAGAAAAGGAAACAATTTTTGAATGCTCTGAGGCAAGAACAGCTGGATGCATTAGTGCACCAGTGTGGCTGGACTTGCTGAGAGAGGGCTTGTGACAGACTGAGGCCAGCGAAGTGAGCAGACTGGGCAGGATTGGGGATTGGATCCTGTAGGCAAATGAGAAGCCTTTGAAGGGATTTCTGAGCCACAGTTTTAAACAATCACTTGGACTGTAATGAAGAGAACAGATTGTAGGAGACTAAGAGTAGAAGTAGGAAAACCAGCTTTTTGTCAGATGAGAGGTGATGGTTGCGGTGGAGATGAAGAGATTTGGCATAAATGTCAAAGTGACATAGTTAATTTGTATGAATTGCATTTCCATCAAAGTATTACCACAGTCAGGTTGGTAGGGATTTTGGTTGACATTTGTAATTGAGTTTGATACGGTAACACAGGGACAAAGTTGGTTTGGTCAACTTTGAAGCATGCAAAGCTAAACTCACCTGTCATCTAAACTGGCCCTGTGTGGGGCTAGCTTCTGCTATTAAATCTCACATTGTTACTTGTTCTCCAGACTAATGCAACAAAGTTAAAGGGGAAGAATAACATCTCACGTTTGTAGTACTTCCATAAATTTCTTTCACACATTAGCCATTCAATCTCATTATGACAGAGGGTGAGAGGCATTATTATTCCTCTCTTAAGGTAATAAACAGGCTTTTAAAAGTTAGGTGACTTGCCCAAAGTCACACTGCTGATAAGTGGCAAAGTATGGACTTTTCTAAAGCCAGGTTTTGGGACTCCAAATCCCATGTTCATTCTACTACATCACAGCGGTATCCATTACAGGATCACTCATGCATTTCCATTCCAGAGGAGGCAGGACAACCAACAAATCTGTATTCTGGGGGGTAATAACCAACTGTCCTAGGCAGTCAGAATATTATAAGTGTCAGTGTAGGGAACTGTTTACTATTCAAGTTTCCAGGCCCACCTTGCAAGCAGGCCTTTCTAAGGATAGCAGTCTCAGGCCTGCTATGTTAATTCTTTTCTGCATGCATAAAATATTTTATTGACCCTTATCTCATGTTAAACTTGAAACAATTAGGAATATTTTTTTTCTTTGTTTTTTTTTTCTAACAAGAGATCTGGGCAACTCAAATTTATTCTTGGCTAAGACTGACTTCTGATCTGAATTTGACAAAATGGAGCCTGAGATTGCATTAGATTGTAATTGTCTAGTTACACAGGGACAAACTCTGCAAAGGCAGGGATCATGGTTTTAGTGTCTTAGCCTCTGTGAGTAAAAACTGAAGGCCAGGGCTTCCCTGGTGGCGCAGTGGTTGAGAGTCTGCCTGCCGATGCAGGGGACACGGGTTCATGCCCCGGTCTGGGAAGCTCCCACATGCCGCGGAGCGGCTGGGTCCATGAGCCATGGCAGCTGAGCCTGTGCGTCCGGAGCCTGTGCTCCGCAACGGGAGAGGCCACAACAGTGAGAGGCCTGCGTACAGCAAAAAAAAAAAACAAAAAAAAAACAAAAAAAAACTGAAGGCTGGAAAGATGGGAATGGGAAGTACAGGGTGGAAAATACACATAAGACAGCTTCATAAAAATTGTTTGCCTTTTTTCTTCCAGGTGTCATCATGGTGTTTTTGTCTCCATTGTCGCTAACTGCTTTTTACTGCCTGATGTGGTCACTCTCCTACATCTTCTTTCCAGATGCTCTGTGGCACAAGGCAGCATGTCTTAAGCTGCAGCACCGAAGACACTAAACAGCCTTACCCACTCCCGCTGGCCTCTGTGGGGTTTCTGCCAGCATGTTGGGCCAAGCCCCGCCTTACCCTTACTAAATGTTTCCTTGTCCCTATGTTGTGTATGTGCTAGATACATGTTGCCTTGAACCACAGCAACCCACAGTAGGGCCAACGGCCTATATACTTCTTCCTCTTTATTCAGGGTTCTGAATCTCTTGGGGACGAGTTGTTTATGTCATACAGAACAGAATTTTTACCAAGATAAATTTGGGCTGGGCTTGAGTTCCATCCCTGTTACCTGCTGGGTGAACTTGTGTACTCAGGTTAGTCCCTTGGAAATGAGTGAAACTCTTCAGGGTTGGTCTAGCCTCCACCTTGGTCCTGCCTGAATGTAATTACTCCAGTGGTGAGGTGGGGCTAACTAACGCGTTTCTTAAATTTACAGACTCTGGCTCTGTAGAGCGGAGCTGATAGCAGGACAATCACATTGCCCAATTTGTGTGTAGGATTTTGTAACTTAAAATTCCATATTTCCACAATCAAAGCTTCTGCCTTTGGCTTTGTTTAGAGATTAGACACATTGGCATCTTGAGGGCATCGTCTGGTCTCCAGGATCTCAGTATGTGTTCTTTTCCTAAGCTCTAAAATACTAAACTCTAGATATTCAAAGGGCACTTCATATTCTAAAATCCAAATTGAATAGAAATAAAATTGTATGCAGCCCTAAAGCGGCACCTCACAAAGAACTCGGGCCCACTGAAAGTCATGCCCCTGGCACTGCCTCTGGACTTTCCATCTCCAGGTGGTGAACCAGATTATTGGCTTAGTTCCGCCCCTTCCTCAACTAGGGCACCAGAGCACCTTTACCTCGGGTCTGACTTCTTTTGCTTTTCTTTTCTTTTTTTTTTTTTTTTTTTTTGCGGTATGCGGGCCTCTCGCTGTTGTGCCCCTCCCGTTGCGGAGCACAGGCTCCGGATGCGCAGGCTCAGCGGCCATGGCTCACGGGCCCAGCCGCTCCGCGGCATGTGGGATCTTCCTGGACGGGGGCATGAACCCGTGTCCCCTGCATTGGCAGGCAGACTCTCAACCACTGCACCACCAGGGAAGCCCGTGATGTCCTCTTCTTAAACCAAAACTACATTAGCTATCAGATTTGGCCTCAAATGATTTTTGGCTATATCTAAAACTTGAACTACATTCAAAGGAAAAAGATGCAATTCTGAAAGAGGATTTCCATGTCCATTTTGAGCCATAGCAGCAGAGCTAAAATAAATATGTAGACTTCCAAGAGGACTGCTTTGAACGGGAAAATACACATTTGATTGTATAAATTGTACTTTGTTTATAACAATAATAATCATACTACATTGCCTCAAAACAATGTTTAGGTTATAGCAATATGAGGATAGCTATAGGTCAGCTAAGAGCCTCTTGACGTAACAGAGGGACATGTGCTTCCTTCTACCTACATGAAAGTAAGGCTACACTTCTACTCTGGCTCTGGGGTCTCAGGATGCTAATGCTAACCATTCAATGTCTTTACGTCCTTAGTCAGGAATCAAAATAAAAAATAGAACTAAAATAGAACTTGTTATAAAATTAACTAAATAAAATAAAATATTCTAACATATAACAGATCTTAGGAACAAGTGGGAAGGCCAAGACTTAGAAAACATACTTCTCAAGCATCTTTTCTGATAACAACGGTATGAAACTAGAAATCAACTACAAGAAGAAAGGTGGGGAAAAAAATCACAAATATGTGGAGACTGAACAACATGCTACTGAACAACTATTGGGTCAACAAAGAAATCAAAGGAAAAATAAAAATTATCTGAAGACAAATGAAAGTGAAATTTTGACATGCCAAAACCTATGAGATGGGGGCTTCCCTGGTGGCGCAGTGGTTGAGAGTCCGCCTGCCGATGCAGGGGACACGGGTTCGTGACCCGGTCTGGGAGGATCCCACATGCCGCGGAGCGGCTGGGCCCGTGAGCCATGGCTGCTGGGCCTGTGTGTCCGGAGCCTGTGCTCCGCAACAGGAGAGGCCATAACAGTGAGAGGCCCGCGTACCGCAAAAAAAAAAAAACAAAAAAAACAAAAAAAAACTATGAGATGCACCAAAAGTGGTACTAAGAGGGAAGTTTATAGTAATACAGGTCTACCTCAAGAAACAAGAAAAATCTCAAACACTCTAACCTTACGCCTGAAGAAACTAGAAAAAGAAGAACAAATGAACAAATGAAGCCCAAAGTGTTGGCTCTTGTGCCCTCGCTGAGCAATCTGCCTCATTTCCATATGTGTTCTGCTTCTAGGCCTGATAAGGTGAAAGATGAAAATGAAAAATGAAAAACCAAAAACTAAAATGAGAAACCAAAAGCGCCTCACTCCCCTCCCCCTGCTGGTACAAGCCTGCCACTAGCTGTCCACATTCATAGGGTGACAGGAATCCTAGCTTCAAGCCTCTAACCTGAGTTGTGGCTCATCTGGGAGCAGAGGCCACATATTTATACCCATGTGGCTAAAACCTTAGGGTCTGTAGGGTCTGCAGAGCTTTAGGCCCAGGAAGAATGAAATCTGGAAGCAGCCATGTTCTCTCTCTCCTCTCCTCTCTGCTCTCCTCCCGAAGGAGAAAGGGTCCCCTCTGCTCACCTCAACTTTGCCTGCCTAGTACGTTCTTTTGGACTCCACCTTCTACGGCTAGGCGCCCTGACCCTAAAGTATGAGCAAACAAACATCTTATTAGTATTTTATTTGTAGTTTTGGAGATTTACAGTTTCACAAGAAACACTGATTTTTTTTCAAAAAATAGAAAAAGTTAAAAAAAAAGAATCTATTGTCTTGGAAGAACAGAACAAGTCTCTTCAGCAAGCAATGGGCCAATTCAGATCGGAGGAACTAGTGAAGTAAGTTAGATATAGGAAGTTCCGATTTATCGTTTCAGGAATAACACAAATGTCTTCTTGTCCAGTTGTATAAGGCTCCAAATGGGCCATCTCAGCTTAAGACTGGTAACACACAAACAAAACACAAAGCCTCCAGGGTCCCATCGAGTGTGAATGCAGGGGTAGCTCACTCTCCAGGAGGCTGCATCTGTTTACAGAACTCATCAAACTGCTGCTGCTCCAGTTCTGTCATGACTCTGTTGAGGGCATAGATCTGAACGGGAGAAAAGACATGTTAGCAATGGAGGCAAATGCTTAGTGTATCTTCAGACACAAGAGGCTGTGTCATTTGAAAATGCCAGAACTGCATTGGTAATGCAGGGGCAGGAGAGGTAGACAGTAACTCCACTGGGGAATCGGATAAGAAGCAGTGAGGCAGGTGACTGATCAGGCCTTTAAAGGATCGGTAGGATTTGAACAGGTAGAGACTGGGGAAAGGACATAGGTGATGGGGGAGTGGATATTATGATTAAATAAATATAATGCAAAAGTACAGCATTAGTTCTAGAAACTTCAAGTATGCTAATATGGAAGATATCATGGAATGGGGTTTGGGGAGCTGGAGAAAGCAAGAAAAGTATGTTAGGGCCTTAAATGCCATGCCAAGGAATCTGGACTTTATTGGGCTGACTCTGGAGAGAGAAGTGTGCAGGGAAGCAACTTGATTATATGTGTGCTTTGAGAAAGAAAACTGGAGACCATGTGAGAGATGGAGTTGGGGAGGAGAGATTATAGGCATTAGGAGACACCTATTACAATAGTGCGGGAGGAGATAGTAGGAACATGACCCAGGGCAGGCAGTGGGGTGGAAAGAAAACTGTGAGAGACATTCTAAGGTGAAAAGCAGGGTGTCTACCTTATTGCTCACCTTGCAGTAATCAATTAATCCACCAAGGGAAGAGAAACAACATAAAGCTTCCACATTTGTATAGAAGAAAAAAAGAAGGACCGTGTTTGTGTGTAGGGGATAAAACTTGAGTAATCAAAAAGAAGGGAAAAAAACCTGAGAAGTGAGACAAATAGAAAATACAAAATAAGAGCAGAAATAAATGAAAAAGCAACCGAATGTACAATAGAGAGGATCACCAAAACTGCAAGATGGTTCTTTGAAAATACTAAAGAAAACCCTGCAAACCTCTGACAAGACAGGTCGAGATAAGAAGGGAGAAGGCACAAACAAACATTATTAGAATTTAAAAGAAGCCATAATTACTGACACAATGGAGATTAAAACAAAACTTATGAACTCTGTGTCAGTAAGTTTGAAAACTTAAATGATCAAAACTGACTAAATAGAAAGCATGAATAATCCTACAATCTTTTTTTTTCCCAATTTTAAAAAATTTTGATAAGATTCTATAATCTTGGGACTTCCCTGGTGGCGTAGTGGTTAAGAATCCACCTGCCAATGCAGGGGACACGGGTTCGAGCGCTGGTCAGGGAAGATCCCACATTCCGTGGAGCAACTAAGCCAGTGCACCACAACTACTGAGCCTGTGCTCTAGAACCCACGAGCCACAACTACTGAGCCCATGTGCCACAACTACTGAAGCCCGCGCACCTAGAGCCTGTGCTCCACAACAAGAGAAGCCACTGCAGTGAGAAGCCCGCGCACAGCAACGAAGAGCAGCCCCCACTCGCCACAACTAGAGAAAGCCCACGCACAGCAACGAAGACCCAACGCAGCCAAAAATACATTAAAAGAAAAAAAATCTATAATCTTTAAGTAAAACGGAATTCCACAGTGATGAAAATAGTCTCAAACAACAACACAAATGATTCTCAAAAAGCATAATACTTAAAATGGTCAAGTTTTATGTATGTTTTACCATAAAACAAACAAATAAATAAATAAATCTACATGGTTAAAGAAAAAAAAAAGATGCTGAGTGAAGAGAACCAGTCACAGAATACGGTAACATATATAAAGTTCAGAAACATGCAAAACTAGACAGTATAGTGTTATGCTATAAAATATTATTTAGGGGTATGCACAGAAATAGTAAATTAATACAGAACAGCAAGGGAGTGATTAGCATGAAATTAAGGGCCGAGGGTACTGCTAGTGGGAAGGCTGGGGACATGGCCAGAGAAGAGCTTCTAAGTTACTGGTCATGTTCTATTTCTGTAGTTGGGTGTTTGTTTTATTCATCTTCTTTAAGTGCACAAACACATTATATATATATTATTTATATGTATTATATAATTAAGAATGTATTAAGTACGAATATACTTAATATATTAAGAATTATGTATTAAGAATATATTAAGCAATTCATTAAGCAGAGAAAGAAGAGACTCAAAATGGGTCAAGGGTCCAAGCCAAGGAATGAGACTTTCAAGGACAGGATCACCAACAGTACCAAATGCTGCTTCAGCTGCCAAATGGGCCTCTGTTCCCATTCACCCCTCTCATCTCTCCTTCTCATCTCACTTTCTGGAATGTGGCATCTATACAGAACTGAAGGGAAACTGTGTCTCCGCCTCCCCACAAGGGCTCTTGTCACATTCCTATCTTAGGAAACTGCATTCCAGGCAACACAGACAAAACAGCAAGGCAACTGTGGGGCAAAGCAGGGAGCAGGGGAGAAAGTCCAGAGACCTGTTTGGATGGCAGTCCTGCCCCTCAATCCCTTACTACCTAGGAATTCTGGTCCCAACACTTCACTTGAAATGAGGATAATACTTTCTACCTCACAAGGTCATGTATGTTGTATCCCCCTTCCTTATTCCAGGAAGGATTTACAAAGGTCAGAGTGGGAGCAACAATAATATACCCTGGTGTGAGGATTACATGTGGTGATGCATGTGCCTGGCACATCTGAGGAGCTCAACAAGGGCCAGCTGCATCGACAGTGCAAGATCGGTATGACATCTTGGCAAATGAGCACAATTCACCTTCAAGTCCGCACAATGAAAACAGTGACTCCTGATAACAACCAGTCGCTGCCATTTCTGAGCGCTTTCTCTGGGCCACAGGCACCGTCCTACGTGCTTTACATACAACATTTCTATTCCTTACAACAATCTTGTGTAATTGATGTTATCATCCTCATTTTACCAAAAAGGAACTGAAGAGCTGAGGTTCAGAGAGGTTAAGTATCTTGTCCAAGGTGACCTGGGAAGAACTGGAATTTATGGAGGAGTTGGGGTTTGAAGTCAGACAAGTAAGTGTAACCTGTGGAACCTCACCGGCAGGGTGTCAGTAAACACATGAACAATGTCCTCAACATTACCGCTGCAGTGTGCACAAAGGACAGTTTCCTAGGGCTGTTTCTTACAGCGGCCCTCCAACTTTCACCAAAGCGCTGAGCAGTAAAACCGTCTGGGGGCCTGTGTCCAGGTGAAGATGGGGGAGGTGAAGGAAAGAGGGGCACAATCTGTTAGAACCCAGGTCCACAGCTCTCAAAGAGTCTGCCTTAATCCAAAGGCAGATTTCAGTTTATGGATTAATTTCAAACACACTATTAAGTTTACTTATTATGTTTATGTCGGCCTCCCCCGCTGAATGCACGCTCCACAAAGGCAGGGACTCCTCTGTTCCTACAACAGTGCCTGGCATGTAGTAGCAGTTCAATATTGTGAGTGAATGGATCAGATTAACAAAAATTTAAAGTCTGACACTATTAAGCATTGGAAAAGAAGTGAAGAATGAGAACTCTCTCACACTGCTAATGCAGGTGCAAACTTGTACATCTCTCTGAAAACAATTTGGCAACGTCTAGTAAACTTGAAAATGTACCCAATAATTCTACTTCTAGTTATATATGCCCTTCAGGAATTCCAGCACAGGTGCCCAAGGAGACATCTAAAAGTTTTTCACTACAGCATTGGTTGTAACAGCAAAAAAAACCCTATGAATTATTTAAACATCTGTTACCGGAGGACGGGGTAAATATACTAAAGTGGATCCATAAACTAGACTACTATTAGCAGTGATGAGGAATAAACTAGATTCTTACATTAACATGAATAGTTCTAAAAAACATAAACAAAATGCAAAATAAAACACGTGGAATCAGTTTAATGTAAGCTTTTAAAACACAAAAGAACATTTTATATTGTTCAAAAATATCTACAAATATTTGAGTGTAAAAGTATAAAAAAAAATAGTGGTTGCCCACAAGGAGGGGAAAAGTAAATGGAGAAAGGGGACTTCAAATTTTTATGTAATTTTTACTTATCTTATTTAAAAAAGACTCCAGGCAAATATGACAAAATGTTAAACACTACCAATCTGGGGTGCTGAGTACCCAGGTGTTTGTTATAATATTCTGCTTTTCTGTATTTTTAAATTTCTAAAAAAAAAAAAAGAAACAAGCAAAAGAAATAGAAAGAGGGAAGACTGCGAGAAGCTTTTTCCTGATATTAAATGCTAAAATAAAATATTCATGTAAACAGTCAGGTTGATTTTTAAGTGCAGACTGAACAAAGGAACACAGTGTTGGGTGTAGAGCTTGGGCCTCTACTTCCCAATTAGGAGGAGCAACTCTCCAGGCCAAATCCAGGACATCTGTACTAGGGTGTGTGACACTTGCTCTCTCTCACTGCCTTACAGGACCCCTCCCTTACATGTCCCTTCTCTTTTTCCTTTCTTCCTTCCCTCAGGTCCTACCACAAAAGCTCTGCGCCAGGAGTCATCTGGTACCGGTCGGGGTTCTGACACTTGGCATGTGACTCTGGAACCTCAGTGATCTCCTCTGGAAACCTGGGATAACACCTGTTTTGGCTGGATTGGCTGGAGGCAGGTAGGGCTCCCCGTCACAGCTCTATCTCTCTATACCGGCATCATCTCCAGCAGACTACAGGTATACAGGCCCTCCTTACTCTCACCTCTGCTCTCTGTCTTTGCTTCAGCTCCTGCTGGGCTGATTTCTGCTTGGCCTTCTCAACTCTGCTGACAGCCTCTTTAACTTTGGTTTTTTCTTTACGTGCAGGTGGATCCATGACTTGGCTTCTATATACTTCTTAGTCAGCTCTGACCTGGATGGTACAGAAGAAGGCGGATCTAAAAACAAAAAAAGAACGAACGAACGAACTTCCATTCACTAATGCCATACCTCAGCCCCTTCCTTTGGCAGGGGAGGCAGAGGGGCCCGGGGAAAAGGGCGCTGCATTGGAGGAGTAAAACCTGAGTCCCACTGCCACCACCTCGCTGGGTGTCTCTAGGCAAATCTCCTCCCCACTCTGAGCTTTAGTTTTCTCCGTCTGCACAATGGGACAACAGTCCATCCCCTGGCCCCCTCCCACGAGCTGCCGTGTGCGCACCAAATGCGAAGAGCCCTGTGAACGGTTTCCTACACTGTAGCGCGCTGCATCCAGCGTGGGACCGCCAGAATTACGAGGACACCGCGGCCCAAAGGGACCGACCGGCCGAAGTCTCGAAGCGGGCTGACGGAGAGCCCAAGGCTCGCGCGGCCTCCAGCCTCCGGACCAGGGCTTTCCCACCTCTGCCCTCCCAGAAGGTTACGGCCCGCTCGGCCCGAGGGGCCCGCCCTCCTCCACCGCCCCGCCCGGGCCCAAGCCCGGCCCCAGGAGAGCTCCCCTCCCGCCGCCGCCCACTCCCGGTGCAAAACGGCGGCTGGAGACGGGCGGCGCTCGGGAGTCGCGGCCTTCCCTCCCGGGTCTCGGGACTCGGACAAGGGCCCAAGGGTGAACCCCCGCCTTCCCCTACCTCCCAGCCTGCAGTACGAGCCTGCCGCGCCTCGGATTGGGCGGGGCCGGGAGGCGGAGGGCGGGCCGGCGCGTCGAGGCCCCGCCCACAGGGAGGCCCGCGCGTGCGTAGAGAGCGTGTCTGGACGCCTCGCATCGGTGCTGGTGCTGGAGCTGGAGCTGGAGCTGGAGATGGGGCAGGGGCGGGTGGGTACCAGTAACAAAAGCTTTTCCTGGGAATACTTTCTGGGACAGACGCTAGGCTTTGAAAGGTGAGATCTGAAACCTGGGACTAGAATTGTAACCCTCTGAGCCTCAGTTTTCAATTCGGAAAGTAGGGATGATGATTGCTGCCTTTTTTTTTTATTATTATGTAATTTAGACAGTAAACATGGTCTGTTTTTTCTTCTTTCCAATAGAATACATTTGATCACTTTTTTTTTATACAGCAGGTTCTTATTAGTCATCAATTTTATAAACATCCGTGTATACATGTCAATCCCAATTGCCCGATTGCTGCCTTCTTGATTCAGAAACTTGTTAGGAAGTCAAGTGAGCTCCTGTTTACCACAGTGCTTTGAAAAGGGAAATCGTGATGGAAGTATAAATAGCCAATATAAACAAAGAGAAATGTTCAAGTTCACTGATAATCGATAATTTTAAAATTACAATTTTATAACTATTTACAATAATTTTACAAATTGAAATAGCTGGCTATCATTTTTCATTTATTAGATTATCAAGGATTGGACAAAATGGTAGATAAGTACTTTAACAGCAGAAATCTTGTACAGTCTAATAATAACAACGACAATAATAACTACCTCTCTTCTGGACTTATATTACAGGCACTGTTCATAGAGCTTCACATTTATTAACTCATGTATTCCTCATAATAAGTACGTATAATAGTGTGAATATATAATAATATACTATAATTGTTCCCATTTTACAAATAAGGAAACAGAGGCACAGAGAGTTTGTGACTTGTCCAAGGTCACACAGCCAGTAAGTGCCCTAGCAAGTATTTCAGCTAGGATTTAGGATAGGACAATGGCCTATCCAAAAGAAAACGTGTTCAAGCCCACTCCTTTTCTTCCTCTAAGGATTGGGCAAGAATTGAAACAAAGGATGGATTCTAAGCAACAGTGAAAGTGTAGCCCAGATGGACACTCATATTTTCAGTCAAAGGGTAAATTATCACAACCTTTTGGGAAGCCAGTTTAACACTGCATTTCAAAAGCCTTGAAAATGAACACGACCCCACAAAAAGACAAATACTGCATTATTCCATTTCTATGAGATATCTAAAATAGTCAAACTCCTAGTAGAATGGTGATTGCCAGGGGCTGGGGGGAGGGGAAAAGGGAATTGTTCAATAGATATAGAGTTTCAGTTTTGCAAGATGAAAAAGTCCTATAGATCAGCTGCACAACAATATGCATAGAGTTGATACCACTGTACTGCACACTTAAAAATAATTAAGATGGTAAACCTACCTAAGGAGGTAAAAGACCTGTACTGGAAAACTATAAGACACTGATGAAAGAAAGAAGACACAAACCGTTGGAAAGATGTACTGTGTTGTTCATGGATTGGAAGAATTAATATTGTTAAAATGGCTATACTACCAAAGGCAATCCACAGATTCAGTGCAATCCCTATCACAATAGTAAGGGCATTTTTCACAGAACTAGAACAAACAATTTTAATATTTGTATGGAAAAAAAAAGAGCCCAAATAGCTAAAACAATGTTGAGAAAGGAGAACAGAGCTGGAGGAATCATGCTCCCTGACTTCAGACTATACGACAAAGCTGCAGTAATCAAAACAGTATAGTACTGGCACAAAAACAGACACATAGATCAATGGAAGCGTATACAGAGCCCAGAAATAAACCCATGCACTTATGGTCAATTAATCTACAACAAAGGAGGCAAGAATACACAATGGAGAAAAGACAGTGTCTTCAATAAGTGGTGCTGGGAAAACTGGACAGCTTCATGTAAAACAATGAAATTAGAATATTCTCCAATGCCATATACAAAAATAAAATGGATTAAAGACCTAAGTGTAAGACCAGAAACAATAAAACTCCTGGAAGAAAACATAGGCGTAACATCTTTGACATAAATTGTAGCACTATTTTTTTGGATCTGTCTCCTAAAGCAAAGGAAATAAAAGCAACAACAAACAAATGGAAAATAATTAAACTTAAAAGCTTTTGCATAGCAAAGGAAACCATCAACTGAATGGAAGAAAATATTTTCAAATGATATGTTCAATAAAGTGTTAATATCCAAAATATATAAACAGTTCATACACTCAATATCAAAAAACCAAACAACCCAGTCAAAAAAATAGGCAGAAGATATAAATAGACATTCTTCCAAAGAAGACATACAGATGGCCAACAGGCACATGAAAAGATGCTCAACATCATTAATCATCAGAGAAATGCAAATTAAAACCACAATGAGATATCATCTCACACCTGTCAGAATGGCTATCATCAAAAAGACACAAATAAAAAATGTTGGTGAGGATGTGGAGAGAAGGGAACCCTTGTACACTGTTGGTGGAAGTGTAAATTGGTGCAGCCACTGTGGAAAACAGTATGGAGTTTTCTCAAAAAACTGAAAATTGAACTACCATATGACCCAGCAATTCCACACCTGGGTATATATCCGAAGAAAACGAAAACTCTAATTTGAAAAGATACATGCACCCCAATGTTCATAGTGTCATTATTTATATATATATATATATATATATATATATACACACACATACACACACACAATGAAATATTACTCAGCCATAAAAAGGAATGAAATTTTGCCATTTGCAGCAATACGGATGGACTTGGAGGGTATTATACTAAGAGAAATAAGTCAGACAGAGAAAGACAAATACTGTATAATATCACTTATATGTGGAATCTAACAAATAAAACAAACTAGTGTAGTGACTATAACAAAAAAGGAACAGACTCACAAATTAGAGAACAAACTAGTGGTAACCAGTGGAGAGAGGGAAGTGGGGAGGGGCGAGATAGGGGTAAGGGATTAAGAGGTACAAACTGTAAATAAGCTACAAGGATGTATTGTACAACACAGGGAATATAGTCAATATTTTGTAGTAACTATAAATGGAATATAATCTTTATAAATTGTGAATCACTATATTTTACACATATAACATGTAATATTGTACATCAATTATACTTCCATTAAAAAATTTGTTTAAAGCTTAAGATGGTAAATTTTATGTTATGTGGGGGTTTTTTTTAACCACATTGAAAAAAAAATAAGCACAACTTTGACTCAGCAACTACACTTTTAAGTTATCCTAACTAAATAATCAGAGACGGTGCTTTTTACTCCTAAGAGTAAAAAACCAAAACAATGAAAATATTTATAAACGGGGTCAATTAAATAAATTATAGGATAGCTATAATGGGATTCTATGCAGCCATTAAAATGACACAGAAGAATTTTTTATGTAATAAAATGTTTTTAGTTTAGTAAATGAAAAAGTTACAGAGGCATATACAACATAGTCACAATATTTGTTTTATTGTTTCAGAAAAGATTATTATATACACATGAAAAAGAGGCTGGATGGAAACACACCAAATTACAAATTGAACTTAAGAATGGAGATTATTTTTATCTTCTTTGTGCTTTTTTATATTTTCCAAAATTTCTACAATGAACATTTAAACTTTAGCAAGATTTATACTTTCTTTTACATTTTTGTCACATTGTACACTTTATAAAGTTCATATAAGCTCTGGATTAGATTACAGCTGGAGACAGGGCAGGGACTTTGGAAGGCTTTACAAAGCCAACAGAAACAGACTGGATATAGGGTATTAAGTAGTGGAAAAGCCAAACTGGAAGATTGGAAAAAGAGTGGAGCCACTGATAAAAGTGAAGGTATGATGAGTTGGCTTGGGAAAGGATGAGGAAGAGGATAAGTCAGAGGTGTGTGAGTGTGTGAGTGTGTGTGTGTGTGTGTGAGAGAGAGAGAGAGAGAGAGAGACAAAGAGAGACAGAGACAGAGAGACAGAGACAGAGAGTGCTAGTTTACACTTACACGTGGCAAAAAGCAAGAAGAGTTGTCCAGTAAGTATAGGGCTGCAGAAAATCACAGGTGTGTAGATACTGGTTTGGGATTCTTCATCAGAAAGGTGAAGGCTGGAGCCAGGAGGGAGTGAAAGTCCCTTCTCTGTTCTTCCTCCATGAGTTTATGATCTCTCTTTCTCTCTCTCTCGACCATCAACAGACTCTTGGACAGTCTACAAAATTCCCTGGTTGATTGAGTCAGTGTTTACATAAATATAACTATTCCTAAGAGTAAAAAAGAATATTTTTACAGTGTATACTGTACTAAGATTACATTCACTTTATTAAACAACTCTAAACAACTCTACAACTCTTTTTTTCCTGGAGTCAAAAATTGCCTACTTTTTTCATTTGTGTAATTAACCTATGCATCCACTGTTAATTATTCCATAAACTCTCCATCAGGACTATAAAACGTCTTTCTATCTGGTCTCATGAATCTGATACTTTTCAACTTTTTTTTTTCCCTTAGAGACATTCTTCCTTAGGCCTATCCTCCTCTCGCTCCAAGCTGTTGTCTTGGCTTTGCTATCCAACTGTTGTCCTGAGACTTCCCATAACCACATTCTGGGGACTTGCATCTCCTCTCCTGTCCCAAATCCCCTGTCTCCTGGATATTCCTATTTGAGGCTTATTCTCTCATTTTGGAGGAGCTCATTCCCCAGTAATTTCCCCAGAATAAGTTCATAGGACGTACATTTTTGAAACCCTGCTTGTCTAAAGATGGCTTTATTTTGCTCTCACACTTGATTGACAGTTTGGCCGGGTACAGAGTTCCAGGTTGGAAATCATTTTCCCTCAGAATTTTAAAGGCATTGATCCACTGTTATCTAGCTTCTCATGTGGCTAGACTTTTGAGAAGTCTGATTTATTCTGATTTCCTTTACTTCTTATGTAATTTTTGCTTGTTCACTTGTTTCTGGAAGCTTTTAGGACATATATTTTTCCTTTATCCTTGATGTTTCAAACCTTCATCATGTTAAGTAATAATAACGTAAGGCTTTTTCATTCATTGCTCTAGGTACTCAGGGGTCCCTTTCAATCAGGAAACATACAGTCTTCAATTCTGGGAAATTTTCTCTCTGTTAGATTCCCTTGTTTTTTTCATCATTTTTCTTTCATTTTCCATCACTTGGTTTTGTTTATTCTAACTTTATAAGAGATTTTTTAGTAGTTACATTTTTATGTACGTATGTATTTATTTATTTACTTGGCTGTGCCGGGTCTTAGTTGCGGCATGCGGGATCTTTTAGTTGCGGCATGCAAGCTCTTAGTTGTGGCGTGCGGGATCTAGTTCCCTAACTAGGGATCGAACCCGGGCCCCCTGCACTGTGAGTGTGGAGACTTAACTGCTGGACCACCAGGGAAGTCTGTATGAGAGATTTTTCTGAAATTTATCCTGTAGTTTTTCTGTTGAATTTGTTCATTTCTGCTATAAAATTTTAATTTCCAAGTGTTTTTCCTAGTACCCTGACTTTCCTTTTGGTAGCCTCTTGCTTTTGTGTTGTGGATTCAGGATCTTCTCTTATTTCATGTTTCTGAGGGTATCAGTTGTAGTTTTCTGCCATTTTCTTCCACTTCTTAGATGGTCTCTTGTTGTTTATTTTGGTCTCTAGCTTTCAAGTTAGAGACTTTCCTCAGATAATAATACTAGCTACCATTTATTGGGTGTAAAGCACAGTTCTAAGTATTTTACATGTTTTAACTAATTTAATCCTTACACCCAATGACTGAGTTACCATTTGTATCCTCAATTTACCAAAAAGGTAGAAACTACTGTGTATAAAATAAATAAGCTACAGGATATATTGTACAGCACAGGGAATAGAGCCTATACTTAATAATAACCATAAATGGAATATAACCTTTAAAAAAAGTGGTTTATTTATTGTTCTGGTGTATGAGACTATGATAAAATTCTAAAAAGTCAATTTTCCTGAAAAAATCAAGAAAAGTGTAAAAAAAATTTACTAGTAAGGAGAATTCCTTGGTGGTCCAGTGGTTAGGGCTCTGAGTTTCCATTGCAGGGGGCACAGGTTCCACGCCTGGTCGGGGAACTAAGATCCCACATGCCACATGGCGCAACCAGAAAAATAAATTTACTAGTAAGGAAACTGGGACACAGAAAGGTTAAGGCTCTCATCCAGGTCACACAGCTCAGAAGTGGACCTGAATCTAATCAAACCTGTAGCTTTCCAGTTTCAGAAATCTGAGGGATAGAGAAATAAATTAAATGTTCCTGCAAGAACGCAACTGGCCAAATCCAGAATGCAGGACATTGTACAAGACAATTTACCAACAATCAAGGGTGTAAGGAAAACTTTTTCTAAAAAAATAATTAATTAATTAATGTAATTCATTTTTGGCTGCGTGGGGTCTTTGTTGCTGCACGTGGGCTTTCTCTAGTTGTGGCAAGCGGCGGGTACTCTTTGCTGCAGTGCGTGGGCTTCTCATCGCGTGGCTTCTATTGTTGTGGAGCATGGGCTCTAGGTGCGCGGGCACGCAGGTTCAGTAGTTGTGGGTCGGGGGCTCTAGAGCACAGGCTCAGTAGTTGTGGCACAGGGGCTTAGTTGCTCTGCGGCATGTGGGATCTTCCCAGACCAGGGATCGAACCCATGTCCCCTGTGTTGGCAGGCGGATTCTTAACCACTGCGTCACCAGGGAAGTCCCTGGTTATCCTTTTTAAATATAGCAGCTTGTACATGTCAATCCCAAACTCCCTAACTATCCCTTCTCTCTACCCTTCCCCCTGTGGTAACCATAAGTTCATTCTCTAAGTCTGTGAGTCCGTTTCTGTTTTGTAAATACGTTCATTTGTATAATTTTTTTTTAGATTCTGCATATAAGCAATATCATATGATATTTCTCTGTCTGACTTACTTCACTCAGTATTACAATCCATGTTGTCTAGTATGTCCATCCATGTTGCTGCAAATAACATTATTTCATTCTTTTTTATTTCTGAGTGATCTTCCATTGTATATATATACAACATCTTCTTTATCCATTCATCTGCTGATGGACATTTATGTTGCTTCCATGTCTTGGCTATTGTAAATAGTGCTGCTATGAACACTAAAGTGCATGTATCTTTTCAAATTATAGTTTTCTCTGGGTATATGCCCAGGAGTGGGATTGCTGGATCATATGGCAACTCTATTTTTAGTTTTTTAAGGACCCTCCATACAGCTTTCCATAGTGGCTGCACCATCTTACATTCCCCCAAGAGTGTAGGAGGCTTCCCTGGAAAAGGAGCATTTCAATCACCTCAGATAATTACGGATAGTTTTTTTTTTGTTGCAAGAAGAAACTTGACAAGTGGTAGTTGCTTAAAGGTTAATGCAGCATGGAATCTAAAACCATACCAGTGAACTTTTCCTTTCTTTCCCTGCCCATCTTTTTGAGATATAATTGACATATAACACTGTGTAAGTTTGAGGTATACAATCCATTGATTTGATACACTTATAGATTGCAAACTGATTACCATAATAAAGGTAGCTACCACCACCATCACGTCACATAATTACCATTTCTTTTTTGTGCTGAGAACATTTAAGATCTACTCTTTTAGCAACTTTCAAATATATAATACACCAATGAACTTTTTACACCCTGTTCCAGTAAAATCCACCAGATTGCCTTGCATATTGGTGGCTCTTTTACTTATGCATAGTTGTCAAGACATGTATTAGTCATTTAGAATTTATTGGTTCACTGTGCAGATATTTCAAATGTTGACACATTTCATTGTATAACATAAAAAACTTGCATTCACTAATGTCACTACCAATCTCATCAGAAAAATCTTCCTTTACTGGGAAACTATCAAGCTCACAGTAGCAGATAAAACTGCTAATTTCCAACCAAAATATCAAATCACTTTGGCAACAAATACTGTCAGTTGTTTTCCTTCAAGCAACAGGTGCCCTTTGTTCATTTTAGAGAAAACACCTGCCAAATACCCAAGTCTGAATAACAATAGTTTGTCTGTTGGTTATACTTTCAGATAAGAATGAAGTCCATGGAGACTTCCCTGGTGGCGCAGTGGATAAGACTCCGCGATGCCAATGCAGGGTTTCAATCCCTGGTCGGGGAACTAGATCCCACATGCATGTTGCAACTAAGAGTTTGCATGCCACAACTAAGGAGACCGCCTGCTGCAACTAAGACCCGGTGCAACCAAATAAATTAAAAAAAAAAAAAAAGAATGTTCATAGCAGTACTGTTTGTAAAAGCAAAAGCCCAGAAACAATCCTCACTTTTATCAAGGGGAGAATGGACAAATTTTTGGTATATTCATAGGATGATCTACCTCACAGTGTTGGATGAACGTCCCAGAGTTTTATCAATCAATACGGACAGATTTCAGTGTCTTAATTTGTACTCCACCCAAAGCAGGGTGTGAGACATATTCTTCAGAACAAGAGTTTATTTAGGAGGTGATCCCAGGAATCAGAAGTAGCGAGTGAGAAGAAAATGATGAAAGGGACTTCCCTGGTGGCACAGTGGTTAAGAATCTCCCTGCCAATGCAGGGGACACGGGTTTGAGCCCTGGTCTGGGAAGATCCCACATGCCGCAGAGCAACTAAGCCCGTGCGCCACAACTACTGAGCCTGCGCTCTAGAGCCCATGAGCCACAACTACTGAGCCCATGTGCCACAACTACTGAAGCCCGTGCACCTAGAGCCCGTGCTCTGCAATAAGAGAAGCCACCGCAATGAGAAGCCCAAGAACGGCAACAAAGAGTAGCCCCCACTCGCCGCAACTAGAGAAAGCCTGCGCACAGCAACAAAGACCCAACGCTGTCAAAACTAAATAAAATAAATTAAATAAATAAATAAATATATTTAAAAAAAAGAAGAAAAGGAAGACAAACCAATAAGATGTGCATTATTGAGCTACTTATGACAGTGGAACACCGTGCTCATTCCCACTGAGAACTCCCTGAGGAATTGTGTGGAATACAGCTTAGAATTGTCCCTCTGAAGATGTGGGGACTGGACCATTTTCCACTTACTTCCATCCCCCCCACCCCCTGCCCCAAGCCCCATTGATCGATCCCCTGGGGCAATAACTTTCCTGAACTCCTGGGTTACACACAGGCTGAACAGCCTTCTCAAGGTTTGTAAAGAGCCCCAGTCAGATAAGCGAAGAGCTGCTGTGGCCTGCGAGGTGGCATGCTAGCAGCTTGCCTTCGAGTCTCAGCTACCCCAAAATTGAGTGGGCTGCGGGGACATGGTGTGAGCTACCATAGGTGTCAGCTAGGCTCAGGAACTAATGTTGAGTGAAAAAAGGAAATCACAGGGAATTATGTACAACGTGCTCCATCTTTATAAAGTTCAAAAATACATAAAAGTATATAATGCATGGTTAAGGAAACACTTATGGATATTATGCATATAAAATTATGGATATTCTGAAAGCAAGATAGGCGGGAAAGGGTTTATCACATATTGGGGGACAGTCAGCAAGTTTGTTTATCAGAAAGCACATGTCAGGGTGCAGTTGGAGATAAAGGTAGTGAGTTAAAGAAGGTGGCTAATTGGTGGGTGTCTTTGAAACCAATCTTCAGTTTTACTCTGATTTGGAAAGTAAAGAGGAGCAAGCTTTTAAGAAAGGGTGTGATAGGATCATAATGTATCAAAAGCAATCACTGTGCAGTTGGCTTGGATGGGAGAAGGAGCTGAGGCGAAGTCCCTTAGCCCGGCAGCACTGGGAGGCTTCCCTGCTTTTAGGGAGCTTCCTCTTTGCTCTGTTCCTTTATCGGGTCAGACAGGCAGGGCGTGGCTTGTTGGTGTATAGGAACAGCTGGAAGGGAGTCTGTCGGGCAGATGGAGCCCCTGGCTGAGGGCTTCAGGCATTAGAATAAAAGATGAACTTTTCTCGGGCCCACCTCCGGAGTCCTTCCTGATGTTCCTGCCTGATGCCTCATATCCCTGAACGGGCAGAGGGATGTTCCCAGCTTGGAGACTCCAGCTCAGCCGGTGAGGGACAAAGGGCCCCTAATTCCAAAGTGGTGAGTCCTCCTCCCTCTCCCCTCTCGTCATTCTTTTTAGTCCTTTGATTTTCTCAGGATCCTCAGGTCTGTTGGAGAAACTATCCCCTTTCTTCATACTCACAAGAACATTTTAGAGGATGAAATGGAGCGACAGGAAATGAGGAGCGCAAAAAAGGACAAGTGGCAAGGGGACTGGATGGGTTTTGTCAAAAGACTCCTTTAGATATTATCGTCATCATTAAGTATGACAGCTGTCACTTATTTAGCCCTTACTCTTAGCCAGGTCCTGGCCGTGTGCTTTCAGACAGAACAGCTGTAGATTTGCTGGGTCTTCTTAAGCTGCTTGGAGTTATCAAGGGAACTTCCATTGCATGTCTTTTTTTTTAGAAAGAAACACTTTTTGTTTTAATTAATTAATTTTTGGTTGCATTGAGTCTTCGTTGCTGCGTGCGGGCTTTCTCTAGTTGAGATGAGTGGGGGCTTCTCTTAGTGGCAGAGCATGGGCTCTAGGTGCGCGGGCTTCAGTAGTTGTGGCATGTGGGCTCAGTAGTTGCGGTGCACGGGCTTAGTTGCTCTGTGGCATGTGGATCTTCCCGGACCAGGGATTGAAACTGTGTCCCCTGCATTGGTAGGTGGATTCTTTTTTTTCCTGCTTTTTAAAAAAAAATTTTAATTTTATTTATTTATTTATACAGCAGGTTATTATTAGTTACACATTTTATACATATTAGTGTATACATGTCAATCCCAATCTCCCCCCCACCGCCACTTTCCCCCCTTGGTGTCTATACATTTGTTCTCTACATCTGTGTCTCTATTTCTGCCAGGCAGGTGGATTCTTAACCACTGCGCCACCAGGGAAGTCCTCACTGCATGTTTTTTTCTGCTTTAGAAGTTTTTGAAATTAAACTGTTTCAAATTTAAATGTAAATGACTTCCTGTGGGGAAAAATATTTCCATCATATGTAGTAGAAAAAAAATTTGTTACTATATGAAGAATTTTACAAAACATTAAAGAGACAAATGCTCAAATAGAAAAATGGACAAAGTATAGACAGGTAATTGACAAAGTCCAAATGACAAAGGAATAATCAAAGAAATACAAATTAAGATGAAACACAATTAATTATTTTTAGAGAGATATTGTTACTCATTAAAATAATGAAGATGTAAAAAAAAAAACCCAGTTTTGTCACTCATTAAAATGACGAAGGGACTTCACTGGTGGCACAGTGGTTAAGAATACGCCTGCCAATGCAGGGGACATGGGTTCAAGCCCTGGTCTGGGACGATCCCACATGCTGCGGAGCAACTAAGCCCGTGCGCCACAACTACTGAGCCTGCGAGCCACAACTACTGAAGCCCCCCTGCCTAGAGCCCATGCTCCGCGACAAGAGAAGCCGGTACAATGAGAAGCCAGTGCACCGTAAAGAAGAGTAGCCCCCACTCACCGCAACTAGAGAAAGCCCGTGTGCAGCAATGAAGACCCAACGCAGCCATAAATAAATAAATAAATAAATAAATAAATAAAATGACAAAGATGTTAAAAAAAAAAAACCCAGTGGTGGCAAGGTTGTGGAGAAACAAACAATTTCATACACTTTGGTAAATTGATATGACCTCTCTGGAGGGCGATTTGGCAATGCAAATTAAAAGTCTCACCATTTTAAAGATGGGAAACTCAAGGCCTAAGAGTTTAAGTGACTTCCTTAAAGTTACAAAGTCACACAATTAGGAACCAAGCCAAGTCTAGAACTAAGCCTTATAACTTGGCCCTCAATCCACTATCAATTGTAGTGATAAAGCTTATAATAGCAATGCATTGGGAAAAAACCTGAATATTCTACAATATGGAATTATTTTTAAAATTCTTGCATATTCATGATGGAACACTGAAATCATTAAAAGAATATTTGATGGCATGGGAAAACTACATAATATAGTTCTTGGTGAAAATGTTGGGTATTAAAAAATATATATACAGTATAGTCCTACTTTAAAAAAAAGTTATATACATACACAGAAAAAATATTTGAAAAACCATATTGTCTTCAGGTGGAGGAATTACAGGTGATTTCAAACATTTTTGTCCTTTTTTTCTTGTAATTTCCAGATTTTCTATATTAGCTAGGATAAAAAAAAGCAATAAATTTTACTTGATAAAAATTTTAAAACAACTGAAATGCCATAGGGCTATGCTGAAGGTGACTTGGAGCTGGCTGACCGTGGGTGCTCAGGGCAGGGAGTGTCCATCCCAGAGGGCAACGAGAGGGGCTCCAGAGCCTGAGGGAATTTGAAGCCAAAGACTAGGGCAGTTCAGATGGCCAAAAAGCACATGAAAATATGCTCAACATCACTAATTATTAGAGAAATGCCAATCAAAATTACAGTGAAGTATCAGCTCACACCGGTCAGAATGGCCATCATCAAGATATCTACAAACAATAAATGCTGGAGAGGGTGTGGAGAAAAGGGAACTCTCATACACTCTTGGTAGGAATGTAAATCGATACAGCCACTATGGAGAACAGTATGGAGGTTCCTTAAAAAACTAAAAATAGAACTACCATATGACCCAGCAATCCCACTATTGGGCATATGTCTGGAGAAAACCCTAATTCAAAAAGACACATGCATCCCAATGTTCGTTGCAGCACTATTTCCAATAGCCAAGACATGGAAGCAACCTAAACATCCATCGACACAGGAATGGATAAAGAAGATGTGGTACGTACATACAATGGAATATTACTCAGCCATAAAAAGAACAAAATAATGCCATTTGCAGCAACATGGATGGACCTAGAGATTATCATACTAAGTAAGTCAGACAGAGAAGACAAATATCATATGGTATCACTTACATGTAGAATCTAAGAAGTGATACAAATGAACTTATTTACAAAACAGAAATACAGACACAGAAAGCAAACTTATGGTCACCAAAGGGGATAGAGAGGGGGTGGGGTGAGATAAATTAGGAGTTTGAGATTAACATATACACACTACTGTATATAAAATAGATAACTAATAAGGGCCTACTGTATAGCACAGGGAACTCTACTCAATACTCTGTATTGGCCTATATGGGAAAAGAATCTAAAAGAGAGTAGATATATATATGTATGTGTATAACTGATTCATTTTGCTGTACACCTGAAATTAACACAACATTGTAAATCAACTATACTCCAATAAAAATTAAAAAAAAAAAGACTAGGGGAGGTAATGAGAAGAGAGGGCTTTTAGTTCCTTGAAGTAGGATGGATACAAGAAAAAATCAAAATCTTATATATAGCAACGAAAAAATATATATTTATATATAACAATTTTGGGACCTAGTGTCCTACAGGTGACTTACAGCAAAGGTGACATCTAGACTGCTGATGATGGAAAACTCTCACTCACCATCTGTTCACCCTTTTATTTTTTCAGTGTTTTTCTTCTACCCTGTTTCCCCTCTACCATCTTTTAGTTTCCTCTCCTGTTCTTTGGTTTCTTCTCCCCGCCTGGCTTTGAAACTTCCAGTGAATACCATGGTTCTCCTTCACTGTTGCTCTGCCCATGGAAGGCACTCTCAGAAATAGAATCTGACTAATCCTCCTCTTAACTCAGTAATTTTGTAATCTGAAGCATCAAGTTTCCAAATTAGGTTATTTCTAGTGGAGAACTGAAAGTTAGACAAACACTCTTGAAATGGTATTTTCCTTTTCATGAAGCAGAATTATAGCATATTGGAGCTGGAAAGGAATTTAAAGCTTCAACTTGTCAAAATTCTTTAATTAAATAAATTTCATTTTTGCTAAATTTAGTTACATGTTGCACATTTGTTCATCAATATATTACACTTTATCAGTAAGTTAGGAAATAGAGATGAGAAAAAATTGCCCATGTTTCCAACCACCTTAATTATTAACAACCATTCATATTTTATAGGACTTACTTTTAGTTCCTTTCCTACACACTCTTTAGTGTAGTTATAATCATTGTAAATGTATTATTTTGTATTTTGCTTTTAACACATCATTAGCTTTCATTTGAAACATAGGTTTGATGAACCATAATTTAGTCATTGCCTTATCTATGTACCTATAGATGGTCTAGTTTCTCACTATTATACAAATACTACTGACATCATGTAAGCTTTTGTATTTCAGATTCTTTCCTTAGAGTAGATTTCCAGACTATTTCTCACTGGATCAAAAGGTAAATACATTTCCTTACTTCTTGTTGTTTCCCAATTTACAATGAACTCAGCAAATGTAAATGAATCTCTCAATTTAAAGATGGAAAATCAGGACCTAAGAGTTTAAGTGACTTGCTCCAAGTTACAAAGTCACACAGATAGTAGATACCAAGCCAAGACTAAAACCAAGCCATCTGACTCCAGTCCTCAATTCACTAGGGATGTAAGCCTTTCTTTACCTTTTGGTTTTATTTAGCCTTAGATTTTCGGGAATGTTGCCACTAGCTTACTCTCTGCTCTTCTCGGATGAGATTATGAGGAAGGAAATTCACACCTTTAATAAAAAAGCTAAGATCTCATATCACATTAGTCACACTCTACCCAACAACAGCAAAATACACATGAAACATTTACCAAAATAGACCATATGCTAGCACACAAAGCAAGTCAATAAATTTAAAAGGATTCAAGTCATACAAAGTATGTTTTCTGGTCACAGCAGAATTAAATTAGAAATCAATAACAGAGGTCTGTCTTCTTCCTGACTGGTCCTGGTGGTTTCTGTCTGAGAACTGCTGATAGCAATATGTTTTCAGGACATGCCAAAATTGGGCACCTTGCCCCCCAGTTCAAAGCAACATCTATTATGCCAGATGGTCAGTTAAAAGATATCAGCCTATCTGACTACAAAGGAAAATGTGTTGGGTTATTCTTTTACCCTCTTGATTTCACCTTTGTGTGCCCCATAAAGGTGATAGGGCAGATGGATTTAAGAAACTCAACTGCCAAGTGATGGGTGC